GGCTTGGTAACCCAAGAAGTAGACCATATGGGGCTTGGAATCCTCTGATCCACATGCTAGATTATGGGGGAATGTTGAATTATTCGGGTATATGATAATCTTCCATGTGGGTTAAAATCGGTACCTTTTTAGCCCAGTGGTCGAGTTGTCTGACATCCTACTTAAACTAATTTTTCAATCTATTTCTGCTGGTAAGCAGGAACTTGGCAAGTAAGTTTCTTGATTAAAGAAAAATTACGCTCCAAGAATTATAGGGGAATTAGCTCAAATGGTAGAGCGCTCGCTTTGCATGCGAGAGGTAGTGGGTTCGATCCCCACATTCTCCATTCGTAATTACAATGAGTAAATAATTACAAATGTTTTTTGGAGTTTAACTGAACATATCGGTTATGTTCTGTTTTTTGGAAACATAGCATTGTCAGATATCTTGACCACTATGTTGGAATATTCGGGTATATGATAATCTTCCATGTGGGTTAAAATCGGTACATTTTTAGCCCAGTGGTCGAGTTGTCTGACAGTCATAAATAGGTGGTTTTTGATTTAATGCGTTTTTTCATTGCAATATTATTTTCCGCCACTGCTATGAGAAATAACAAACATTTCCAAAACACTAGTATTCATAATAGAGAAGTTTAGCAGTTCCAAATTTTGGAACAAAATTTTGGTGTAACATGTCAAACCATCACTACGAATTCCACTCCAAATTTTGGAGTTAGCTACTCCAAGAAATGCTTCATGATGACTACACGATGCGAACCTGTCAATGATGAATATCTCTCCTCACCCTGACATTTCTTCTTCAACACCGAGAAGAGGACCAAAACAAGAGCCAGAAAATTCAAATTCCACAAGCCTGGTTTGATTTCAACAAAAGTGATGAAGCCACCTGTCGATTTTACTTTCGATTTACACAAAGGCAGCTTAAAGATATTATGGTTTGCTCACTAGGAACACCGCCAATGACGCCACCGATGATGTCGCACAAGCTACACCTCGAAATTACGCTGCCCAAACTTCAAACTTAAATTCCAAAGTCTGTCTTTAACGTACACCAACGATCTGCATATCATATTAAAGCCCTGAATCTC